TGTAGGGGGAATTCCTCTTCTTTCTTAGGAATTTTATGAACTTCTTCACTAGCAAGTTGAAGTTCTCTATTTCAGAATCTTCAGAGCTTGATTTTTCACACACTTCTTTGCCTTTGACTGATTTCAAGGCTCTTAGTGACACTCCTTTGCCCTTTTTGTCTTGCTATTCATTTTCCTCAAAAATGTGCAGCTTTTGCTCATGCTCTCTTAGCTTTCCAAAGAGAGTAGCAAGGATCAATGAAGTCAAGTCCTTTGATTCTTCTATGGCAGTAACCTTTGCTTGCCATGATCTATCCAAGCATTGCAACACTTTCAAATTTAATTATTCTTCTTCAAATTTCCTGCCAGGATCAACAAGGTGATTTATCAACTGTGTAAACCTCTTTTGAAAATCAGAAATTGATTCACCATTATTCATTCTCAAAAACTCATATTCTCTTATAAACGTGTGCTTTCTAGATCTCTTTACATCACTTGTTCCTTCATGAGTGACTTGCAAAGTGTCCCACATTTCTTTAGCAGATTTGCATTGAGAAATTCTAAAAAACTCATCAATAGACAATGAAGACATAATAATGTTCTTTGCTCTATAGTCATATTAGGCTCTTTTTCTCTCATCATCACTCCACTCACTCTAATGTTTTTCTCTCTTCCCATCATCATCTTTGGTCATAGGGATATAGGGTCCATTTTCAATTGCATCCCACACAACAATGTCAATTGCTTCAATGAAAATTCTCATCCTAATTTTCCAATAGACATAGTTTTCACCATTGAAAACAGGAGGTCTATGAATAGACACACCCTCAAGGTAGGTTCTTGTTAGCCATTTTTGAAATCTTGAATAACACTCAAGAACCTTGCTCTGATACCAATTGTTAGAAAAGAATGGCTCAATATCCAAGAGGGAGGTGAATTGGATTCTATGACACTTTAAAAATTTTCAAAGTTCTTAGGATCTTTATTTCAATTCAAACTTTTCTAATATGAATTTTCGAAGAATTTCCTTAAAAGACTTGCTAATGGAAATGAGTCATATATGCTTTCTTGATTAATCTTTGATAAAGTTCAAAGTTAAGAACAATCAATATGCAACTCTTTGATTCAGGTTAAAGCAATGTTGTGCATACAAACATGTTAATCAATATTATTCCCTTTAACACACACCCAAGATATTACTCAAAGTAAAAGATAAGTGTAAGAGAAGATTGCACAAGTCTTTTATCCTGGTTCAGCCACTCCACATGTGACCTACATCCAGTCCTCAATCATAACCTGATCAAGATTTGTTCCACTATCTCAATGAAGAAGTTTTACAAGCATACCACACATGCATATACTCCTACATTCAAGATAACCACTTTCTTGACCCCAAGAAAGCACCTCTTGTAGAAACCCACTACAAGAATTCCTTACCACTTGAGACACCTACTCAAGATTTACAATTATTCACAAAGAATTAAAGGAACGAATTCACCTGGAAGCTGAAAAAATCAGACTGTGAATTCAGAAGCAAATCTCAATCTTTCTCTTTCAAGAATGTGATGATGATGATGATGATTTTCAAAGCATTTCAAAAATGTTTTACTTCTTGGTTTCACAAAGAAAACACTCCAAGAAAGTCACAAAGACTTCACAATAATGTTTTTCTCTTTTTGATTGTTAACTCATTCTCTGTTCTGAAGTTTCAAGGTGTGAAAACTATTTATAACATTTTTAGAACCAGATAATCAATTATTTTAAAGGATAATCGATTATTTTGTTCTTCATGATTTCTGGAAATCAACCAAGAACAGAAGAATCGATTATTTTGTAGGATAAACGATTATTCGAGAAAGTGCTTCCTGGGATAATCGATTATTTCACAAATAATCGATTATTACAACAAGGCATCCTTTTCACCTGTTGTTGGAATAATCGATTATATTTAATGATAATTGATTATTTTGAGTCAGTTTTCAAAAACTCTGTTTTATATCTCAAAATAACTTTTCAAGTATCTAACTCATCATCATACTCACTCTTAGTCAGATTAGATTAAGATTGACTTATGCGCAAAGCATACACATGCAAAATAAGCTAAACAAAACAATACAACTTATGAGCTATTCCTATTACACATCATAGTAGCCATATTTTCTTCTTGACTTTGTTTTTGACTTGTTGATATCCTTGGTCAGCTTTGATTCTCATAATCCACATTTTGTTATCATCAAAACCTTCATTCTCCAAGTTTGAGTTGATTCACCACTCCATGAATCTCAACAAATAGGTGGTGACCAATCATCATCTGAAAACTTCTCTTTCATGAAGTGCTTTATTTCTCTTGCTTCTTTGGAGTTTTTACTTTCATCTTCAAATACATCCCGATCAAAGAGGTATTATAGAAGCAAAATCCTCGGGGGTTTTGTGATCCGATTCCACCAAGGAGCAATCAACATTAAGAGGTGACCCATTAAAGATCACCTTATTTGAGATGCTGGCATCAAAGCTTGCACACACAAGTTCCACCAAGTTTGGGAACTATGGTGCCATAAGGATGCTAGATAGTGTAGGCAAGGAAAAACTCAGGGATTCAACTTCAACTTCATTAGTAGGAGTAGGACCTTCAGATTTAGACTCCCCCTTAGAAATAGCTTGGGATTTGAGCTCAAGTATCATTAGTCCTTTGAGTCGAAAGAGAGAGACTAATGGTCGTTTCCAATTGTTAGGCCTCCAAGAAAATTAGAGCAACATCTATGAAGGCTTATTGGTTGGCTTCCTTAGCAGCAAACTAAAGCTTCAAATGCTTTACTATGTGCTCTTCTTCCAAGGCTTGGGTTGATTTGGGGTCATGCACTAGGTGTTTCTTGTGTGTTGGTGTAGGTTGTAGGGTGGTTTCTTGAGGTGGTTAATGCTGAGGTTGAGGCTTGGATTTTGATTTTGCAAAAGAAGAGGTTGGTAGTTATGTAAATGGTGGAGGAGTTTGAGAGAGAATTTCTAGGCTAGAAGTGGAGGATTTAAGATGAAGACAATGAATGGGTAGGCGAGGGGCTTATCATCTAAGTCGGTGAGGTTTCACGGATATGGATTTTGAGGTGTATGGAGACAGTGGCTTTGGAGGGTGCAAGTTTGGATTGATGGGTTTGGCAAACACTCAAAGCGAGCTTCTTGGTAGGTGGCTCTTCTTCCATTGGTTCATCCTTGATGGTTAGGGGGTGGCCTATACCCATTTTTCTTAGTGTGGTCATTGAGACCTCTCCTGGATCAGGATTGATAGAGAAAGACAAAGTGTTAATCCTTATGTACTGGATGATCTGAGAAAAGAGCATCCTAAAGGGTATTAGGGTTGCCTTGCTTCTCTCATGGTCTTGTTGTGAAAAGCAGACTTTCTAATGGTTGTAGACCAACCTAGGCAAATTTATCTTACTTCCCAAGACAAGATAGTACAAGTAGAATCGATCTACATCATATATGTGGTCTCTAGAGCCTAACCTTGGTAGGAAGGTGTTGAACAACAGATTGTTTAACATCCTACTAAGTGGAGTCAAGTTGGCCTATCAGAGAAATTTCTTCAAGGCGTTCCTTTTTGATGGTAGTGGACCATTTGAGTAAATGAAGGCATCAATTATGTTATAGGTAATGGCTACCTCCCAGCCACCCTAGTAGGCTGGGCCTTCCTCTTTACAACTTGAGACTATTGTAATGGTTAGAGGATTGATGTGGATGGTGATTTGGTTTACTTGAATGGTGATGGAGTTTGGTTCCTAGTTGGTAGATGCTCAAAAAATGGCATGAGGAGCATGGTACCAATTGCACTTTAGCTCAGGGAATAAAGTTCACCTAGCTTGGTCAAGATATGTTTTCACAGGGTAGTCTTCATCTTGCATCTTCTTCACAGTAATGGTCTTACCATGTAAGAATGCAAAAGTAAGAATTGTTATTTTCCATAGAAAATATGCTATGGATATTTTAGAAGAAACTCACATGTTGGATTACAAGCCAATTGACACTCCTATGGATTTGAATGTTAAGTTGTTTCCTAATCAATGAAAGTCTTTTTTAGGTCCAAGAAGGTATAGAAGGTTAGTTGGGAAGCTGAATTACTTACAAATTACATGACCAAATATATCATTTGTTGCAAGTATTGTTAATCGATTCTTGAATTCTCCATGTGATAGCCCTTGAGATGCATTGCTTAGAATCTTGATATACATTTAAGGATCACCTAAAAGAGATTTGGTACACATAAAATAGAGGTCACTCAAACATTGTTTCATATATAGATGTATAGGCAAGTTGCCTAGTTGATAGATCTACATCAAGATTTTGAATTCTTCTTGGGGGCAATTTTTTTTTTGTGAAAAAGTCAAAAGTAAAATATTGTTGCTAGATCTAGTAAACAAGTTAAATATTGAGCTATGACTTCATTACATGTGAGCTCATATGACTCAAATACCTTGTCCAAGAGTTGCACTTTTGTAAAGTAGGTGCTATGAGCCTCATTTGTGATAACCAACCAACCTTATGTCCTCTTTCACTAGTACATAAGATATTAAGATAGATTGTAATTTCATTCTTGTGATGGTCGTGTTAGGAGTAATTGTTACCTCGTTTGTCAGAACTAGTGAACAATTAGCAAACATTTTACATATGTGATAAGCTTAATGAATACAATCCATATGCTCCCGCTTGAGGAGTGTTGAAACATGACATAATTTTGTTATGATGTGATGTGGATTTAAGAGATGATTTGTATTTACTATGATATCCTACTTTTAGGAAAGTAGGAAACTTACTGTATGATCATATCTTTGGATTTTGATTAATCCTTTCCGCTCTTAGCCTATCTTGTATCTATATATATTTATATACCCTTTGTACAGAATTAATAAATAAGAAACATTTTTCTGTCCTATTCTTTGATTTCAAGTGGCATTACCCTGCCGAGACGATAACCGGGAGCGATTAATATTTCTTGATCATTAAACATGACTAATTTAACAACACACTTGAACAAATATCTAAAGGAAAATTATAAAGCCTTTTCAAACACACTTGACAATAGAAGATACAATGATTTTGTGATACGGATGGACATAATTGTTAGCTAACGGTGTATGTTGTCTTGAAATTTGTACATAAGAGATACAAAAAGGTTAATTTTGAGCTGATGTGTGGTCTGAGAAATTTTGGCGGCCGTAAAAAATACTCGCAATCACTATGTACACTCCATGAGAGAAGTAATGTTATTGAATCTATTGTCATAGTACAGGCTGATCAGCAACAATGTGAAGCAAAATGCTAATCGCACGCCAAACCTGTAAGGCCCTTGTTCACAGAAATGCCAACAGGAAATGACCTGTGTATTCTTGGTTTGGAAACAGGTTCTTTCTCGTTTGAAGAATCGAGACCAACTTTCTTTGTTATTATGGGTGAGTTCTCAGCCGTGTCTGTAGTTGTAGCAAAGAATTGTAGCCCCTGAAACATATACTTCAAATAAGTCACGTATGACTAGAAGTTAAAAAATTACAGAGGTTGTTTAGAAACAAGTTTAGACACATTTTTGAGATCTTTATTATAATTTTTTTATTTTTAATAAAAAAAGCTCTCAAAAACATTTATAACTAGCATCTAAACAGACTCTTAATTTTTCAGTCGCCATAGCTGACAAACCTTGAGTGTTTTCTCCTCAGGTGTCATTATTGTACGAGTTCTTGGTTTTGCAATATCCTGTCAAATCACCCAAAAACACCAAACCGATATTTACATGAGAAATTACAAAATTTTCCTGGATAATCTGCAGAACTCTTAACTAGTAACTTGTCGTTGCATTTACAAAAGTCTTATCATAAAACTTTTCTAAATAAAAACCTCCAGAATCCCATTTATACACTCAATTAGAGTATAATTAGGAGAAAACACAATCGAAGATGAAACATCTAACCTTTTGGCCATTTGGCCTGTCGTTAAACCCCTCAGCAAATTGGCACAAATACCAGAGACCTGAATTAGTCTTGTCCTGCACGATATTTTTTCAAGATAAAAAGGGAACTAAATAAGTAAATATATATATTAAAAAAATTGTAAAAATATGCTAGAATATAACCCATGTTTGCCATGATAAATTTATAACCTGTTTTCCTTCAACAAGCTTGAGCTTCCCTTCCTATCAATTTGATTGATTGAGTCAAGTTAGAACAAGGGGAAAATTCAAATCGATTGGATGCTTAAAAAAGACCGAAGAAAAAGCAAGTTCTGCAACTTACCAGCCCAGATATCATTGTATGTATAACTTCAATATCACATCCAATCTGAGAAAGGTTTGACTTCACTTCATTCACCTGCATGCGAAATAATTTGAAATTCATCTTAACACAGATTAAAAAGAATTTTACAAAAGTTTTTAATCAACTGAAACCTAAGACCAGAACAAATGCAACAGTATGAAGGACCAATGAAGTTCAAGTTGAACAATACCACACAAAACCATTTTTGGGACATCACCTACTAGCCTTGCTTCTGATAGAGTTGGTCTTTGATATGGTATGAGCCAAAATGACCAAGTGAAAGAGTTCAAATTACCAACCTCATTATTCATAACTAAACTTGATCATAAGGTAATGTTGAATTGTCAACACGTTCAAGTCCCAATTGCTTAAGTTTACAATTCATACTTGAGAATATTAGCTAGCATTATAAAACCATTATTAGAAATAAATTGGGTCTTACCAACTCCCAAAAGCTAGTTCATGGGAGAAGTATGGCTCAAGTCTAATAAGAGCATTTTGACCATATTCTTATGCAAGGTGTGACACCCTTTCACACTAAAAAAATGAATGTCCCGGTGCAAGGTTTGCAAACCCAAGCATTTGGAGGGCATTTGGTACATGGAAAAATTTTCAAGCCTAGGAATCATGATTCATGAGAATCATGAATCCTAGAAATCATGAAAATTTGTTTGGTTGATCATAAATATTTCTAGAAATGTTTCTAAATGTTACAAGGGAATCAAAAAATTTTACTACATTAAATCAGTAAATATAGGTAATATGACTTTTTACCGAATTAAAACTTTATTTTTACCTCAAGAAAGATAGTTTCCCATCTCCCCCATGGGAATAATTTCATGAGAAAGCTATGTAAAAATCATTCCCAAGAAACAATGTTTCCTAAGAATGTTAATTTTTAAATAACAGACCAAATGTGGAATATTAACATTCCAAAAGTCAAATTCTCGAGAAAGTAAAAACTTTCCATGAGCCAAATGCTCCCTTACAAGTAACCAAATATTAAGATTTGATAAACTCTAATACCATATAAAAAAAAACTGGACCTAATTCACTCCCAAAAGTTAACTCAAGAGAGGAGGATTGCCTAAGTTCAAGAGAAGTGTTTTGACCATATTCCTAGCCAATATGAGACATCTTAAAATCCATTATTGGACTTTCACATATTAGTCTAAACATTTTAGAGAAATTGGTATTTAACACACACATCAATACAAGAACATAGAGTATAAAGTCATTGATTAATCAATTATTATGTTAAAGAAAAAATACTTTGTTATTATCTGTTTGATTCTTTGACAAGTATAGACTATTGGCAAGCATTGGCATTTAGGAGGGGGATGTCGGTTGTAGGACAACATTCTACTTTGGGAAGGTCAAGTGTGTATGATTCCCAAAATATTTTTGATAGCCCGCGGATCTCACTTTCCATGGTGTAGACTAGAAGAGTGAACATAGGCATCACATTCAAAGACACAAGTTGGGAGACTTGACATGATGGGAAAGTAAAGGAAGAACAATACTATGTTTATAATTCAAGACATGAGAAGGTAACTTGTTTATCAAATATGTGACAACCAAGACATTCTCCTCCAATAAGTTTTGGGAATAATTTGGAAGAGTAAAGCTCTAACAACTTCAAGAAGATGACGATTTTTCCTCTTTTCAACCGCATTTTATTGGGGAGTATCAACAACAGTTGGTTTATGAATTATACAAATTTCTCTGAGAAATTTGGAAACATTTGATTCACATACTCAGTGCCATTGTTAGACAGTAACATTTTAATAGACTTTCCAAACTGATTTGGAACAAGATGGAAAAAAAATTCAAGAACACTTGAAAAACCTCAGATTTATTTTTCATAAAGAAATATTCAGGTGACATGAGTACATTCATCAATAAATGACACAAATTGCTAACTAGAGGAATTAGAATGAACAAGATCAAAAGGTTTCAAGGCTCTTATTATTACTAGGAGGAAAGGATGGATGATGGTGCTTCACAAATTAACATTGTAGACCCCTAAAATTGTCCGGGTCGGAAATAAGACTCGAAGACTCTCGAAGAACAAAGGAAAGTCAGCCGGAAGGACTCCTGGAAGACCATGGAAGACCCTAGGATGACAATCTGTAGGATTAGAGGTCTTAGAGTAGCAAAAAATAAGAAAGTGGAGGGAATGAAGCCCAATACGGCCTCCCAAAAGTTCAGTACGGCCGTATTGAACATTTTAAACTTCAATACGGCCGCACTGAACTCAATACGGCCGTATTGAAGTTTCTGAACTTCAATACGGCTGCATTGAATTCAATACGGCTGCACTGAACTTCAATACGGCTGCACTGAACTTCAATACGGCCGTATTGAGGTTTTTTGAACTTCAATACGGCCGTATTGAATTCAATACGGCCGTATTGTAGTTCAAAACTTCAATACGGACCGTATTGACCCCCAGAGGCCGTATTGCGCCTCATCCCTATAAATATGACGTCAATTGGACGTCATTCTACACTTTTACACTGAGTTTTAACCCTCTTCTTGAGTATTCTGGGTTTTTTTGAGCAGTGCTCTGCCTAGAAATCACTCGGAGAGTTGATCCGACGAAGTTCTTGAGTCACGAGCCATTTGCTTGAGTCTCGAACCTAGTCGAAGGGAAATCCTCCGGATTTCCATAGTTAAAATTTTATAGGAGGGAGCGAGCGGTCTTGTAGAGGGAGGGAACGCCAAAACGCTTCCCAATTTCTGTCAAGATATATAAGAAAGCACGCTTCAAAGGTTTATCTCTTTAAAGTCCCTTCTTTTACCGCTTTCTGTGTGTACATATTTAAACTGTCATCATGTAGATAGTTAATTTATAATTGCTTAGAATAAATAGGGGTAATTTAGTAATTTCGCACTATTATTTTTTTAAATAATCTGTCATAGGGAACCCGAAAGGGGCGCTGTGGGGTGCTAACACCTTCCCCACGCGTAACCGACTCCCTTACCCGACTCTGGTTGTAATGGCCGAAGTCGATTTTTGAATCGATTGCCTTAAACTTCTTTTTCCAATGTTTTGAGTAAAACATTGGTGGCGACTCCATGAACCCTTCCTTTTTATGAAAACCGCTAATCCATGGAGGGTCCCGCTTGGGATTAACATGGATTGGTGAGCCTTTTAATAAAATTGCTCGTTTGACGAGGTCTCAGTTTGAGAATAAGTCATTCTAGCAATCCATATTTTTAAACAAATAAAAGAGTCCAACCATCCTTCGCGAATGCCGAAAGCCCGTTTCGGGCCGGTGGCGACAAACATATAATTCAATGAGAAGACTTGACTCACTCTTTTGTAAACAAGTGAGGAAATAAAGAGTAAAGAATACCCGAAGACAGATGTCCAAGATGGTTATGTTGAAGCCAAATCTGGGAAGCTACCCAAGTTTGAGTTTGTTTAATGAAAGAAAGACAGACCTTTTTGTCACTACCACCATCAATCTACATATGCTATAAATAATATAACCAACCCTTATCCTTAAGAATTCCAGTTATCCTCCCTGTGGAAAGGTCCTCAAAAACACACTAGGGATAGATGAATGTTACTGTACATTCCAAATCCTATGCAAGTTTATGCATAAAAGAAAGATTATAGGCTAGTTTGGGATCGTGAAGGACACTGCTCAAGGATAGGGGTGGTTGGGGTTGAATGTTGTTCGATTCAACAATAGGGGCACGAGCTCCATTAACAACCGTAATGTGCTTGCTTTACAGACAATATGGAATAGGGGCGGGCATTTTTCCTGAGCTGATCTTTATGCAAACTATTGGAAAAAGCCCAATCATATCTATCCTAGATCATTAAAAAAAGTTACTCATCATTTATCCACGCATCAAACCTAATAGTGTTTTGGTGTGAGGAGATGTATTGAGAAATATCTAGGTTACACATCAACTAGAGATTAGGTCAATAGAGAAGAATATATAAGTGAGAGACAACCCTCACCTTACAAGCCGATTTTATAAAGTTGAATTAGATCCAATCTCATGTTTTAAGATGATGTCAGAATTATCCTAGATTTATTAAAAAAGAGTTACCCACCATTTATACACAAATCAAAAGTCCAATAGTGTTGAGTATGAGGGGATGTATTGAAAGAATACCAAAGTTCCACCTATTCTAGATCATTTAAAAAGGGTCATCCATAATTTATTACACACCAAACCTAATAGTTCTAGGTGTGAAGGGATGTATTAGGAAAAAAACCGAAGTTCGACTAGAGATAAGATTAATAAAGAGCATAAAAATGAGGGAAAATCCTTATCTTACAAACTGGTTTTGTAAGGATGAGTTGCACCCAAACCCACATTCTAAGATAGACAGACAAACAAACAAATTGAATTAGCCATTCCCATTCATGATTTTCTTTAACAGGATCAATTAGTCTTAATGCTTGATGCACCCAAGAAAATAAATCTAGAATGGTCATTTGATCTTATATTATTGAACTAGGAAGTTCTCTTACATCATTTGATATAAGTTGACCTAACTCATTATGCTCTTCCATCTTCAAGTCAAGACCTTCCAGCCTCTTCGTAAGATGCCTTTTTGTTGACTGTGCAAATTAAATAAACAGATTTTTTCAGCAACACCCAAAGATGAAAATGTTCATATAGTAAAATGGGAATGCCAACACAAACTACTTACTGCCAATGTTTCATGCACATTTTCTAATTGCTTTGACACAGTTGCAACAGCATTGACCATATTTCTCTTTGTCACAAACATTACATCAGAAAATGACCATTCCTTCACGAGGTAAGAATTAATGGGTTTAATCAGCACCATCAAATCATATTCTGATTTTTAATCAAATGTACTTGGTAAGCCAAAGTGATTCAATTGTCATCTTACCTTCCACCACATATAACAATATCCCATAGCTCCTATTGCAGCAGCAGGTAGCAAGTAAGAAGCAAAACTCCCTATGTTCAAATGTCAACATGAACATTATATAGTGTAGAAGATACTCTTATAGATAAATAAATAAAGGAAAGAAAAATATTACATTTGATAATAAAATTTCTTAAAACCAAGAACAAAATTTCCATGATTGGACAAATTGCCTACACCAGGCCAGAAGATACGGAATGTCCAAAAACATACCAATATGTAACAAATGAAATGAATATCTCTTCAAATGTCACTAATGAAATGGAAATAAAAAGTTATTTATCCCCAAAGGATAATGGAACTATCATTACTGATCCAGGAATCAATCAACAATAAAATATAATCAAAATGTAGAGTTCTATAATGAATTATAATTTCAAATGCTTCAAGGGAACTTTCATAAAAGAAAACAAACATTGCATCTGCAGACCAAGAGCCATTGTCAATAAAAGACATGTTTAATACTGTGAAACTAGCTAGAAAACTGTTTAGGAAGTTAACCATTTATTGATGTTAGTTGTTCAACATTTAACAAATGTAGCACATGCTTAAATTAGTTTCCTCCCATGTACACTACACAATGTTATGATTTTGCGAGTAATATCACTGTACCTCACTCATGTAAATGTAAATACAACAGTATGGTCTGCAGTAGACACGCAATCTGTATGGCATCAATCTGGGCAAATTTTCTCACCTATCTGCCCTAGCCTCATGTCAACAGTGCCGGCACACTACTCTGGTCTGCCTTTCTACCACTACCCACCCCCACCTCTTTTCATCATTATGCCCCCAAGGCCCCAACAAAGAGCAGACATCACCAATGACCCCCCTCCAATTGTCACCACCCTATCTGCTTATTGCACATTTCTCCACACATAACATCCTGTTTGGCATGTCTGCCTCATGTGCCTATCTCTTCCCAATACATGAGCCCTCTTCCAACGGCACCTACTCACCATTGTCTCTTTTGGCGACCTTCCGATCTGCAATAGAGGCCAAAATAGCATCATTTCACAGTGCTATAGCACTGCTCTGCATATGATGTCCAAAATCCTAAGAATGGCCTCAAATATTAATATTGCACAGGCATTTTATGGAGAATTAGAGGTAATTTTGGGATTTTTGGCTAAAAAGGTTTTAGCTTGTAGAAAACCCTTTCAAACATCATAGCTTTCATGCCTCACACATCTCTCCTACTTTGCAACTAGTGCATGACCCCTGAGCATCCCTTCAGCAACCACCGTGTGATCCTCTAGTGACTCTTCAGCAACCCATCCCATCCTGCAGCTTCTTTACTTCTCTCTTGCTCTCATCCTCAAATTTTCTTTCTCACAGTTTTCTCTCATAATCTGGTTCTCATTGTTCACCTATTCACTTCGATCTCTTTTTTCTGTTAATCAGTTTTCTGTGCTTTTGTCCCTCTACTCTTTTTTCTCTATATTTTCTTATGTTATTCTCTTTGTTCCACCAGTTTATGATCTCTGTTTATTGCCTCTCAAGTCTAAGTCTCTCAGGTCTTTTTTCAGTCATCAATTTCCCAAAGATCAAAACTCATTCACTCCCTTTTATCTCTTTCACTTTGGTTAGTCGTGGTATCCTTTATTAATACAACTTACTATTTACTTGTATGATAGCTTCAAGAGATAAGCCTATAACTTTTTATTATTAAGTATGAACATGTCAAAAAAAATTTGTATTTTTGTTTGAGTATTTATGTGCATTTAAGTTTAAGTATGAATTATATAAACTGTATAAAAAATTCAAAATAGCAGTCATCCTGCTATTCGCTGGAGTCAGCCGCTATGTATCACTATCCAACATTGATAAATATGGTGCAAAAAAGTTATTGTCAATTGTTGTCAAACAGAAGAAAGAAATAGGTTATTGTTTAAAGGTAGCACTTAGTGGTTTCCTTAATGCAACCCTTCCCGGTTAAAAGGAATTGCTTTTACAAGGTTAAGGCCCTGTTTTGATAAAGTTCACCATAAGCACTTATAAGAGAAGAAAATCAAAAAACGAAAAATAAATTAGGTTTCTCCTGTAAGTTAAAATTAGTTGATGAATTAACTAATTTATAGAAGTTCTCTAATTTAGCTTCTCCAAAAGCTTATTTCATTGACGCATGAGCTAAATTTAACTTATAAATAAGCTTAATTCATTTTAACTTCTTATTTTATGTTCTTGTCCTTATTAAGAAGTTTATCCAAACAGGACCTAGGTCTATATCATTTACTTCCATGAGCCTAAGACAATTATCACTAGTAATCCATATACAATGTAAATTATGTAATGTTAGAAGCAAGTGAAAATGAGAAGTCGGACAACTTATCATAATCACAAAGAAAACCAAGAAACAGGTTTAAATAAAATGTTAGTCACTAACAGTCTGACAGATTCTTCAAGGTCTAAAAAATCAATTATTTTATCCTGTGATGTTCAACTAATGTATTTAATATCTCCACGGAGGAAAGAAAAATACAGAAAACCCAAGTTTGTCGTTGTATAGAATTTGCAATAGAATTCAGTGTAAGTACCAGTTGAAGAAGAATTGGCTTTGAAGATAGTCACAGGTTGAGACAATGTCAACTCCCTGATCTCCTGCGCTAGCTGCCGAATCTGAACATAAAATACAGTTAAATAAACAATTCAACGAGGTCTGTGACAAAGAAATAGGCCTGTTTGGGTAAACCTCTCATGCAGCACTTTTACAAGAGAAAATTAGGAAGGAAAATTCAAAGGGTAAAACCCCATTTCAGTCCCTAAAAGTACAAGTAGCTAGCACTTTAGTCCTTCAAAGTAAAAAAAATTATGAATGTCCTTGAAAGTTATAGCTGTTTCATTTAAGTCGCTAAAAATAACCACTTATTGTCACTTTAGTCCTTAAATACACATTAATATAATCATATAAATCACATACATTTTTTAATTTTGGACTAAAGTGAGTAATATTTTTTTACACTTTGAGGGACTCTCTGAAATTTTATACTTTCAGATACTAAAGTGCCAACAACATACACTTTCAAGGACTTGAATGGTGTTTTATCAAAAATTCAAATAAGTTTCTTCATAAATTAAAACTAACTTATGCATGAGTTAAAAATAAAATTTCCAAGAAACTAAAAAAACTTCAACAAATTAGCTTATACACTAATTTTAGTTTACGAAGAAACTAATTTCAATTTTCCTTCTAATTTTTCTCTCCTAGAAATCCTTAAGGTGAAGTTCACCAAAACATGATCTTATTTTAGCATGGTCATAAACTAGTGCTGTAATGGGAGCAGAAATAGAGGAACATAAAAAAGAATGCACCTGAGCAGAAATAAGCGCAGCATCATATCCACCGGGTAAAATCTCAACGTCGTCGACACCCTTTAGTAACTCCTGAAGCTGTGCGATGAGACCAGACAATTGGCCACTCCTCAGCATAACAGAACCAGTCAAACCTAAATTAATAGCACCAAAAGAGGTTAGTTTTTTTTTCACCATTTTTCTAAGATTTAGTCTTAAACTAATCTGATTGAAAGTGAGAAAGCATAAAAATCAGGCACTTGCTTATACTTACCGGCCCCAACAAGAATGAGAACCTTGGAGGTGTTGACGCCGGCTTGCAACGCCATGCTATTGTTATTTGTTATTCCTATTCTTCTCGACCAATCGATCAGGATCACCGCCCAATTTTGACTTATGCCCTACTCCTTATTTGTGAAGAGCACAAGACCTCTATGAGTATGAACTCGTGCGTGTTTGGAATTTGGATACACAACCAAACTTCTTCATAGTTTCACCCAAAATCAATTAGTTCATTAAAAATAAAAATAAAAATATATAAATTAATAAACTAATCTTCCATAATAATACGTGTTTTATTTTATTGTCTACTAATTTATATTTAAAGATAAAATAGGAAAAATATATAAATAAAAAATAATAATTATCTTTTTTAAAAATAATAACTATTCACTTTTTTTTTTTAAATATTAACTTATTCTATTTTTTAATGAGGCACGAAATGCCTTTTTTCTATTGATCAATAATGAATCAAATGTCGATCTCTATGTATAAAATATGAATAATTATCTTGTTCAAAAGTATTTGTATGAGTTTTTTTTAATAAGAGTATTTTTTAAGTGTTTCTATTTATTGAGAGAATTTTTTAAGATTCTTTTAACTTCTTATTTGTTTCAATTTTTACTTATAATGTTTATTTATAAATTAAATTTTAATTTTTAAACTAAACTATCAATAATTATTTGATCACAATATAGATTATTTATTATAAATCTAAAATATAGCCTATATATTTAAAATTATTTATTTATATTAATTTAAAGCTAAATAATTTATTTGGCTCATTTATTTATTTATTTTCAGTTTAGTCCAACTTTTATTTAATTTATGTCAATATTTGATTTTATTTACTCTCATTTAAATAATTAACAATGGATGCCTATATGGATATGATATGGATTTATTGTATTTCTTTTAATTGACTTTTAGTTAGAGGTGTCAAAGTGAGTCAACCTGACTCACATCGATTGGCTCACCACAAGTTGATGTTTTAAATGGGCCAATCTAACTCGTCTCACTTTCTGGTGAGGCTAAAAAATTCCAATCCAGCTTGAGCCACCACGGGTTAGTGGATTCGGTGGGGTTGGCTCATCAGATTTTTTTAAAATAAAAAAATTAATTTCATGTTTCTATTTTTAATAAATAAAATAAAAAGAGTTATAATTTTTTATATCAAAAAGTCAAGTCTATCATTGATTCAAATGCAAATACATAAAAAAAAATATCAATCAAAGTTTCAAATAAAAAGTAAAGAAGCATATATATATATAATAATAATAATAATAATAATAATAATAATAATAATAATAATAATAATAATAATAATGGGTTAAATGGGTCAACCCAACTCACTTAGGCTCGAACTCGTTTGACTCATGGGTTAAGTGAGCCAAGTTGGAATTTAGCCAAAATCAGTATAATTATTTTTCCTAACCCAACCGAGCCCGAACCGTGATGAGTTGGATTGATCCACCAGATTTGGCTCATTTTGACACATCTACTTTTAGTTTCAAAGGTGATTTTAAATGTTGGAATTTTATGTTTAGGTCAAAAAAAGTTCTCCTATAGGGGTGAAACGTTTCATTCCCAGAATTGGACTTGGACGAATTTCTTAGGTGGAGAAAATATTGGTGAATATGGGACGGAAGCTTGCATTTGTTCGCATTTGGTGGATGTGAGAAAAGGTCGTGTTTGATTGTATTTGGTGAAGGGGGTCGCATTTGATCACAATTGACAAGTGTTAGGGTTAGGGTTTTTTATTACAATTTTATTTGAGTTTTTCCTATGTGTGTATGATACTATGATGTATATTCTTGTTGTCCTTACTTTTTTCATTTGTTTTGTGGGTTTATTGTGTCCTTCAAAGGTCAGGGTGCAAGGTTTATAGTGTGGTCTATCATAGGCATATTTTCGTTTTGTTGTCTTGTTTGATTTGTGCACATGTGATCTAATTGTTTCAAACATATGCTGCCTTTCCACTGATAATTGTGGTCATATGGTCCATATGTGTTTGCATTTGTTTAACATTGTCTTTGTATGTTGTGCTCCTTTCCACCGAAACATTACATATGCTCTTTTTTCTTATTATTTTTATGTGTTTGACTTTCCACAGTATGTTATTGTTTATCCTTTAATTCAAATACACATGACAATAGGTTAATTTTAAAATATTTCTGTTGTTGGATTTGTGTAGGAATTGTTTGATATGGATGATTATTTTGAAATTGTTGTGCATCATAAGGGGTAGTTAGTGAATAAAGACAAGTTAGACTACCTGGGTTATGATTCCACATCGAAATGTGACCCAAATAGATGGAATTACTTTGAGATTTTGGATATATTAAAGGAAATGAGATATCTCGTAGTGGATCGAATGTAGTATTTTGTTGGCAATGACAACTTTGAAAATGGAGTTAAATTATTGGAGTTAATCATTCATACACTGCCAGTGTAAAATTTTTTACACTGGTAACCAATCATATCTTTTAAATTATTTTATTTTATTTTTATTTGATTAAATAAGCAAATGACATGACACTATTAAAAGATATGATTGGTTGCCAGTGTAAAAAAAACTTTACACTGGCAATGTATAGGTGATTAACTCAAATTATTGTGTGATGATATGAGTTCTAAGAAGATGATAGGTATAGCAAGAAAGTATGGAGATATTAAACTATATGTTTTACATCCAATGTTATAGGCTGAAATAATTGAAAAATTATCTATGGTTGGAGATGTAACAAGTGATGACATTTGTCAGAACCCGAAAAATTTTGATCTTGCCCACAAATGGTTAGGACTTCGTTTTGAAAATCTCACTAGCTTTGGAATGCCCAAAGACGAGACTAATTCTTCACTGATGGTTTTGAAAAGAGTTTGAAGGAGTCGTCGCCAATGTTTTACTCAAAACATCAAAAAAAGGAAAGGGTTTTCAAAAGTAGATTATATAGCCTTCATAGCCAGAATTGAATTTAGGGGTCAGTTACATGTGGGGAAGGTATTAGGCATCCCACAATGCTTTAACTCGATGCCCTATGATAAACTTAGCATAATCACGAAATAATTATATCTTTACCCCTTTTATTTTATTAATCATACAATAATTTACAACACATGTATTAATTCATGACCTACATAGTAATCGTTCACTACATGGGAATAGGGTTATAAATAAAACAACTAAGGAGAAAATGGAAGAAGAGAAAGAATTAGAACCTTTGAAGCAAGCTTTTATAGAAAAATCTTCAAAAATGCATACAAGGGCGCATTTTGGCAACATTTCGCTCTACAAAAGCCTCACTGTAACTCAGAAATTCATAGAGAGGGGGAAAGTCAAATCTGACAGGTGTCTGTGCTAGGTATGAAGTGGTTGAAGAACGAGCCTTGGGCACACTTTTATAGGCACCCAGGGATGGGGAACGGTCATTCTCAACACTATAACGACCGTTTCGCACTTCAGAATAACACATGAAATGCCTAATAGGAATGGTTGTTCCCAAACTAGAATTTAGTTCAAATTTCTTGTTTGGAACGATCGTTCCAAGGTTTAGGCTTTAGGGTTAGGAATGGCTGTTCTGCACTAAAATTAAGGCATTTTGTGTAATGGTGTCTTCTAGGTGTTAAGTTAGACGAAGAAATTCTCAACAAGGTTTTGAACATGACAAATATAATGTATATTGTTATTTCTAACATGTATGTTAGTGTTTCAGATAAATATAAGAACAAGCAAAAATGAAAGACAAAGAACGCATCAATACACATATCAAACCAAACGAAGCCTGGTTAAGCTGCACAGAAATCAGACGATCAAAAGCCATACAAAAATATAATACATACAAGACAAAGCGTACTAGCAGTCAAAGTCTTGAAGTATCAAAAAAAAGGCCAAACCAAGTATCAAACAAGGCTAAGTCAAGAACAAGACAAAAGTTGGTCAAGCACCGGATGAAGTTCATATAGATGTTAGATGAACCTTAATGCACTACCAGTCAAAGGTCAACAAAAGTATTAGACGATGGATAACACTAGACGAAGAAACGTTCCAAATGGAATTAAAGTATTCCATCCTCACAACTGACAAGATGAAAAGAAAAGTCAAAACAGACGAAAGGAAAAGTCAAAGTCTACTCTAAGATAGAGACTCAAATTTCAGACGTAGACAAAGAATATTGAAAAGTGTCTGAAGTCCACTATTCACAACGAGGAATATCATATATCATCTACACTCATAGAAGAGCACATGAAGTCATCAAAAGTGTGAAAAGAAAGAAGAAAAATAAACGAGCATGAATCCACAAGTCAAAGTTGCGTGTGTCAGAGCAAGTACACCTACTTTTTAGAAAAAGACAACGCCTTTACAGCTACAATGACGGAAAGAGAACAAATATACCTAGATTATGATTGAAGTCAAAAATGAAAGTGAGCAAAGTACGCGAAAGACTTCATGTAACACAGATTCAGCAAGCAAACATTTAATGCAAGATCAAATGCAAGATCAAATGCATTAAATGAAAGATCTATATGACCATGAACGAACTGCTATCTGCACAAACGGAAAGCTCCACTCCAACGGACACATTCAAATTCAAACAACAGGCAGATTTATCACAAGGCTATAAATATCAAGACCTGAGAAGAGAAGAAACATAGAAGAGAAGTGAAGCAACGAGCAAAGCGAACGCTAAAACAATTTTGCATCTCTTCTTGTACAGTCTTGTATATCTGTGTAAAACTAAGATAGCTTATCTTAGTGAATGTAGAAATTACCCTATCCTCTCTGCAAGATTTATATACACACTCTGAACACATATCCTTGTAAAACTAAGGTTAAATACCTTAGCGAGTGTAGAAACCATACTATCCTCTCTGTGAGAGTCACATACACACTCAAAACATCTATCATTTATAAAGCCTAAAGAGGCTAGTGAAAGAATACTTGGAGAACCAAGAGTGGTTAAGAATACTTGGGAAACTAGAAGTGGTTTAAGAATACTAGCGTCAACAAGTGAAGTTGACGAATCAGAAGTGGTTGAGAATACTTGTAATATGTTGTGATTAGTGAAACCCTTCATTAATTGAAAGAGACTGGACGTAGCTCAGGTCAAGCAAACTAGTATAAAACTCTTTACACTTCTTACCTTTTTTCAGACGCAATTTTTGTTTAGCTTATATATCATATTGAAAATTTCATCCAC